CTTAAAACAACTGGATAAAAACTGGAACTCACCGCTATTTATGACATTTTGAATTGAAAAATCTTCCTGGATGGGAAGAGAAACGTCCTAAAACTTGCAAACAAAGTCCAGTGGATTGATTTTTAACTTTTTTGGAATGACTCTGACCTGGATGACTGAGAATCTGAAGCAGCATTTATGAATCCAGCTTCAGCTCCTCTCTGTCAACCTTGATGCATCTGCAGCCAAATTAAGCGCATAATACAGAGAAAGGATGATTTGGTGTCTTTTTAAAAGAAATCGCAGGAACATCTACGTGAAACTGAGCTATTGTCATCTTGTGATTATAATAGTGACCAAAACCTAAAGGAAGACTCTAAAATAAACAGAATATGATGCAGAAAGGGTAAAACTGGAGCCTTTTCTCAGTTTGAGGGTAAACCTTTCAATTATTACTTTGTTGTGCCTGAAAAAGATAAATCTGTTGTACGTTCATATTAAATAGTGTTGATGACCAAACATTTTGATGATTGTTGAATATTAGACTACTGGATTGTAGTCCATTTGCTTTATTTAGTCATTTAAACATATTCTCTTTGTTTTTCACCCATGATTTGGATCTATTTCTGGAATATCTGTAAGGATTTCCATAGATGTGTTTTCTGCAGTTAGTACTGTTCATAGGATGCAGGGATGCTGGTTCAAATCTCCAGCTCTGAGTGAGGGAGAGGTGGGGCTAAAACCTGGGAAAACAGCAGTAGACATTCAAAATGATGAACTTTCCTTGGCTGGTCCCCTACAATTCATTTTTAAACATCAATCTCTGTACTAAAATATTCTTTCTTTCATGATTTGTGGACATTAAGATCCAAAGATAAGCGCCACCTCCTGGTCAGACCCTGTAATTCAGTGAAAGGGTGGAGTCAGAGTACAAAAATATGAAAGGGGGTTCATTCCTGCAGCTGCTGCAGCACCTGCTCTCTCTTCCACCCAGAAATCGACAGCATTACACAGCAGTTGTCAGAAGCACTGAATGTCGTTACTGTTTATGCTGTGGAGAATTTTCCTCTAAATGCCTTTATTGCTCACTGCAGAGCCATAAAGACACGCAGCCATGTATGAGCGCTCTGGTGAAACAAACATGGCTTTATGGATAGTGTTTACCTCCCAGGTGCTCCGAGTGTCTCGGTTAAATCATTGCTGGTTTTTATTTTGCTTTTTTATGGTTGAATGGAAAAGCCAACATTGTAAAGCTGATTTTAAATAAAACACATTTCAATTATCTTTGAGCTGTTTGATCATTTAACTGCATGTTGACTTTAACAGGATCAATGACTGATTAGATGCTAGAACCGTAAAACATTGGCAAAATGGTTAAACCAACTTTCAATTCTATTCAGTTTATTTCTATAGCTCCAATTCACATCA